CCTACACGTCCTTTAATACAACGCTCAGAGTAAAGGTTCCAGGTGCATCACCAACGTATTAAACCTGGTGTCACTATTTGAAACAGGAAAAGAAAAGGACTCTGGTTTGAGATCAGAAGTGGAATTCACGGTAAAAAGGAAAACTTAATCCTTCAACAAGTTCACCCTTAAGGTGCTGTCCTTGAAGCCAAGTGAAAATGTGGGACTGAAACTTGGAAAGATTATCCTAAGACATTATCTGACTTAAAGGAAAAGAGATAGAAATAAGAGCACAATGGAGAAAGGGGAAGGAAGGACAGAGAGACAGCAGAGGAGAGAGTGGTGAGCTGCAGCACGGGCATCAGCCGGAGAATCCGCTGACAGGGAGAGAAACTGCAGGGTGGAGGACAAGAGGGCTGGGGAAGCAACAAGACAGCTGAGCACTGCTGTGCGAGGCGATCACCTCGACATTCAGCTGTTTAGAGCACAAATTCAAGAAAAACATGTTTTGCATTCCACTGACTACAGGGTACAAAATAAGTTGACGCTAGGGAGAAAAAAATAAGTAACTGGAAATGATTCACGGGGGGTACGTATAACATCCTAGGACCTCTGAGGATGTAATACACATCTAAGCACCTAGCAATGTTGAGAAATACTACCCAGTGCCAAAAGGGACAGGGGCAGACTGTGTGAGCGCACATGCCTGTGCACACATACAAATCTTCAAATGTGAACCAGGTGTGGAAAAGACAAGGCAGTAATATAGTGGTACAAGGCAGAAAGCTAATAAATATTAGTTCCCACTCTTCTCTTACTCCTCCTCTCCCTGACATTAAGACTAACTACCTGTATGCAGAAAACTATAAGACACTGATGAAAGAAATTAAAGATGATACAAACAGATGGAGAGAGATACCATGTTCTTGGATTGGAAGAATCAACATTGTGAAAATGACTATACTACCCAAAGCAATCTACTGATTCAATGCAATCCCTATCAAACTACCAATGGCATTTTTCACAGAACTAGAGTAAAAAATTTCACAATTTGTATGGAAACACAAAAGACCCTGAATCGCCAAAGTAATCTTGAGAATGAAAAACGGAACTGGAGGAATCAGGCTCCCAGACTTCAGACCATACTACAAAGCTACAGTAATCAAGACACTATGGTACTGGCACAAAAACAGAAATATAGATAAATAGAACAGGATAGAAAGCCCAGAGATAAACCCAAACACATATGGTCACCTTATTTCTGATAAAGGAGGCAAGAATATTCAATGGAGAAAAGACAGCCTCTTCAGTAAGTGGTGCTGGGAAAACTGGACAGCTACATGTAAAAGAATGAAATTAGAACACTCCCTAACACCATACACAAAAATAAGCTCAAAATGGATTAAAGACCTAAATGTAAGGCCAGACACTATCAAACTCTTAAGAGGAAAACATAGGCAGAACACTCTATGACAAATCACAGCAAGATCCTTTTTGACCCACCTCCTAGAGAAATGGAAATCAAAACAAAAATAAACAAATGGGACCTAAGGAAACTTAAAAGGTTTTGCACAGCAAAGGAAACCATAAACAAGACCAAAAGACAACCCTCAGAATGGGAGAAAATATTTGCAAATGAAGCAACTGACAAAGGATTAATCTCCAAAATTTACAAGCAGCTCATGCAGCTCAATATCAAAAAACACAAACAACCCAATCCAAAAATGGGCAGAAGACCTAAATACACATTTCTCCAAAGAAGATATACAGATTGCCAACAAACACATGAAAGCATGCTCAACATCACTAATCATTAGAGAAACGCAAATCAAAACTACAATGAGGTATTACCTTACACCAGTCAGAATGGACATCATGGAAAAATCTACAAACAATAAATGCTGGAGGGGGTGTGGAGAAAAGAGAACCCTCTTGCACTGTTGGCGGCAATGTAAATTGGTACAGCCACTATGGAGAACAGCACGGAGGTTCCTTAAAAAGCTAAAAATAGAACTACCATACAACCCAGCAATCCCACTACCGGGCATATACCCTGAGAAAACCATAATTCAAAAAGAGTTATGTACCACAATATTCACTGCAGCTCTACTTACAATAGCCAGGACATGGAAGCAACCTAAGTGTCCATGGTCAGATGAATGGATAAAAATGATGCGGCACATATATACAATGGAATATTACTCGGCCATAAAAAGAAAGGAAATTGTGTTATCTGTAGTGAGGTGGATGGACCTAGAGTCTATCATACAGAGTGAAATAAGTCAGAAAGAAAAAAATACTGTATGCTAACACATATATATGGAAACTAAAAAAAAAAAAAAAGGTTCTGAAGAACCTAGGGGCAGGACAGGAATAAAGACGCAGACGTAGAGAATGGACTTGAGGACACGGGGAGGGGGAGGGGTAATCTGGGACGAAGTGAGAGAGAGGCATGGACATATATCTACTACCAAACGTAAAATAGATACCTAGTTGGAAGCAGCCGCATAGCACAGGGAGATCAGCTCAGTGCTTTGTGACCACCTAGAGAAGTGGGATAGGAGGGTGGGAGGGAGATGCAAGAGGGAGGAGAGATGGGGATATATGTATAGCTGATTCACTTTGTTATAAAAAACTAACACACCATTGTAAAGCAATTATACTCCAATAAAAATGTTAAAAAATATTTAAAAAAGACTAATTATGCCAGATTATAATCATGTTCTCATCACAGAGCTTCAGGTTGATACAGTGGTTGATACAATGATTAATACATTTCAAGAGTAATATTAACATGTTAAACAATATCATGATAGAAAATAAGTGAAAGTACGGGCTTTAAAAGTTTCATTTGAAAGACTGTAGTCACAATTTCTCCTTCATTTTAAGGTTAAAATTAAAAAAACTTATGCATAATCCTTTTAAATCTGAATATATCCACTCTCCCAAAAAGCTATATTCACAATTGTCATAAAGGTGAACAGAGTTGTACAAAGGAAGGGAAAAAGGAAAGGCAGGAATCATGGCGGTAGGACTTCAATTCTCCAAGACACTCCAGACAGGTGGAAGATAATAAAAAGACCTACTTTGGTGGTGATCCTGTACGTGATGTAGGTCTCCATCGTACAGACATGCTTCTTGGGATCATCAACCGTGACAAAGAGGTCTCTGGTCTCACCATCGATGTCATCATCAAGTTGTAGTCTGTTGAGAAGGGAAGATGAAGAAGCGGGACTTGCAGGGCCTGCTGGAGTACCGCCGTTGGGCAAAATGAGATCCTGAAAGAAGAAAAGAATCATCTTACAAAGTAGCTAAAAACACACACCTGGAGAACACCAGCAACAGAGGCGGGTTTAGCCAAACCAAGAAACAACTCTAAATACAAAAATAACTTTCAAAGAATCTGATCCTCTCCTTACTTACCATTTCTTAAGTGAACGAGTCTTTTACAACCAAGAGAAACACGACGGGCAATGCTCTACACAAAATCCTGTTGATTCATGTGTCAGCAAGCGCTGAAGGAACCAACAGTTCAAGGACAGAGAACATGACAGCCACCACCGTCAGACTTTGACAGAGAAAGAACTCCTGAGCACACCACATTGTCTCTTTTTCCCACTTTCTCAAGACCGCCACTTGGGCCCAGGTAAACATTAAGGGGCCAGAACCTTCTTAAATGTCCAACACATTTAAGAACCTAATCAACCATCACAAAGAGACGGCTAAACATTACGTACCTCCTGGAATAAGTTCACACCACCACCTATGAAGTATGCTTGCCAAAAAACTGGATATGAGTCCTGAACAAATCTCTAGACACAACACCAATGTATAGGCAATACAGAAGAGTGAGGAACATGTTTAACAAATACTGCAAGGACGCAATCAGTGGCATCTACACAATGTGAAGCCAAAGAGAACCGAAGACCCAGTTTCTTCAATAAATAAATAAATTGTAAGGAAAAAAGAAAGACAGAGTTGGAAAGAGCACCTATAGATGTAATGAAACTTAAGAGACCTATCAACAACTGCAGTGGGTACTGATTAAAACACAGGGTTAAAAGATTTTGAGACATTCAGGAAATTTTGAATATTGATCAATTATTTGATGACATGAAGGAATTATTAGGTGTGATAATGGAAGTATTATGATTTTACAAAGTCTTCATCTTTTAGTAACACATAACTAAAGTATTCATAGATGAAATGATAGGATGTGTGGTATTTGCTTCAAAATAATTAAGGTCGGGTAGTTGGGATATAGATGACACAAGATGCCCCAAAGCTGATCACTGTTGAAGCTGGTACTTGCAGGTTCACTATCAATTCTCACCTCTTCTGTATGTGTTTAAAATTTTCCGCAATAAAAAAGTTTAAAAGGGGTTGGGGGGAGCAAGTACCAGAAAAGAAAGGGAAGGAAAGATTAAAAACTTATGGACTTCTTTCTTCTTAGGCCTCAGTAGTAAGCCACTTGAATCAATTATGTCCCTACAATATCCAAAAAAGATGCAGTCTTCCAGTTACCTTTTCTGGCTTTAAGATTTGATAAGAGAACAAAGCCCTGTCTAGCAGTAGATGTGAAAGCCTCTGAATGTCACCTTGGAATCATTAGAAGGCAAAGACTAAGGAATATGGCAAGAAAGTGACATGACACTAAGCAAACAGCCTTGGTCAGGAATGTTTTCTGCATTCCTGACCTGTGGGTAATCAGATCACAGGCTGGGCGTGGGTCTTTCCCCAGAATGATCTCCTTCTTGTGTGCAGGCTGGATATGACTTAGCCCCCAGAGAAGAGAACATACAGGAAATGAGAAGTCAATCTAGCAGTCATGTCCATAAGCTCCAGATGAAGATGGCACATCTGGAAAGAGAGTATGGAACAAGGCAGAGGGAAGCATGGTCTGGGGTCAAGGGCAATGTCACCCAACTCCGTGGGTGATGGAAACTAAACAAAAAAGGTACTCTCCTTTGTCTCCCTGACCACAGATAATTTAATCACATCCTTACTTATGCAATGTCAAAAATACTTTTGTAATTACTGAAAGGGTACCATTTCACAGAAGGTATTCATGGGAATGGACCCCACCCCTCCACTTCTCAGCCCAGGGTCTTGTCAGCTGGGAAGGCAAGCCCCTCAGCAGCTGCTCTCCGTGTGGACCATAGAACCTAGCTATAGCAGCACCCCACGACCTGCTTCCTCAGCACACTGATGTCACTGAGGGCATGCAGTGTCCAAATCCCAGGGACTAAGGAGCAGCGGGGGGACATCTTCTCTGGAGCTCTGAGACAACCATCACGTCTTCATCATTTCAGTAAATATTTAAACACTGACCTCAGGCAAGGCACCATGCTAGGCACTGAGGGGCCCACCCTTATATTTTAACAACACTAGCTCGCTGGGCCTCAGAAAGGCTCCATCACCTATGGCTAAACATTGCACAAAAGAAAGAATGAATTCAAAATCTTCAGTCAGATAAGCCAACATCAGCTCAGACAGCAATTTTCCACAATCTGGCCTGAACTGATCCTGGAACTCACTATGCTGTTTCATATTTTCTCATCATTGCTTACATAGCACACACACACACACACACACACACACACACACACACACACACACACACCTCTTTTTTATGTAGAGGGCTCCAAGGATCTCACAGAAATCTTCTCAAATGCCCCCTCCTCCTAGAATCCTTCCTGGATCCAGCCCCTAACAAAATTAGTCACTCCCTTCTCAATACCTTGAAGATGCTTCCACTGAAGCAATTTTCACAGTTTTAATCATTTATTTACATATATAACTTATCCATAAGCACTGTGCGTCCAACAACTGTAAATGTGCCTTGTTCACCTTTGTGTGTGCATGTGTGATTATCCATCCATCTGTTTGCCCGTCTCCCAGGGATTCCAGGCCAATTCCCCTAACCTTTGCTCTGGGGACCTCAGCCAATAACCCTCCAGGAACGGCCCACATAAAGGTCTAAAAGATCTTGGCCAGACAGTGGGAACTGAACTAATTCTCAAATCAGTTAGTGGGGGTTGGGGAGGAGAGAGTCACCCAGACCTTGTCACACAGCAGATTCTTTCCTTTAGGACTACATAACCAGGGAAGATACCCACACCCTTACTACAGGGTGCTTCCCGTAATATTATTTGAGCATATATGAATAGCAAATGAGCTACGGATGCCTGGACTTTCCTATAAAGGGATGCTACCATCTCCGACTTCCATGGCACGTCTGTGCGCAGGGCTTCCACATTCTTATTTCGCTGCCCTCTACGTCAACCTCAACCTGGTGAGGTTAGCAGACAGATACTGATGCGGAAGCCGACTCAGAAAGGTGAAGGACTTCTGTATCCAAATGTATGGAAGCCAGTTATCACTCTACTGAGTTGAGCTCAGGTATCTGGTTCCTAGTTCAAGGGTGTTATCAAGCTGGATCCCCTTTGTGTGGCTTTCCCCAACCCAACACTGTCCCTCATCTCCATTCTCTGGCCATAAATCCTTCTGGGTAAACATGAGGCTTCTGTTTTTAAAGCCAGTCGAGAAATGCTTACATTTTCCCTTAGGGTCTTAATACAAGTTATCCCCCAGATAACTCCCCTCAAGATATGGTCCCCATGAGAAACAAACGTGGAGGGAAAAGACAAAAATCTTAGGAGGAAAGGGCAGGGGCTTAGGTGGACTCAGTGACCCAGGCTCCTGCCTCTACCCTCAGAGTCCTCCGGTAGTGGGTATGCTTCACTGAGACCTGAGTTCTAGAGCACGTATTGTGGGAGGGCAGCACCTTTACAACTAACACCAATTACAAAACGCGAGATGTGAGAGAATCCCTTGGCACAACACAAAAGCCTCCTGTTTCATTGTTGCTGCCCTACAGTCAGTCCTCCTTACTGCAGCCAGAACGCTCCCTGGAAAAGGTCAATCAAAACATGTTACCCGGGCTTCCCTGGTGGCACAGTGGTTGAGCATCCGCCTGCCGATGCAGGGGGACGCGGGTTCGTGCCCCGGTCCGGGAGGATCCCGCATGCCACGGAGCGGCTGGGCCCGTGAGCCATGGCCGCTGGGCCTGCGCGTCTGGGGCCTGTGCTCCGCGGTGGGAGGGGCCGCGGCAGTGAGAGGCCCGCGTACCGCAAAAAACAAAACAAAACAAAACAAAACAAACAAACATGTTAGCCCCCTGTTCAGAACTCTGAAAGACATCCATCCAAACACATTCAAAATAAAATCCAGACTCCCTCCCATAACCCACAAGGGCCAACATGATCTTATCACAGTCTCTGACCTGCCCTCCAGCTCATCCTGCTCGACACACCTGGCTTGGCTCATCTGGACCTCAGGGCCTTCATACTTGCTGCTCACTCTGCCTGGAACACTGCTCTCCCCTCCGACTGCCACTGGCCTGGCTTTCCTCCTCAAACAGGTTTCTGCTCAAATGACACCTACTCAGAGAGGCGCTCTCAGCCCACAAAAATCTAAAAACATCCCTGCGCGCTCCATCATTTTCCAGTCCCTTCCCTGGCTTTATTTTCATCGTAGGACTTACCACTGTCTAAAAATGTATTATATATTAATTGATTGTCTGTCTGTCTGACTTCCCACCAGTCTGTAAATTCCACAGGAGCAGAGACTGTGTCTTCTGGAACACAGTAGGTACTCAGTAAGTATCTGATGAATGAATGAGTTTTAGAAGTGACCCAACTCAATCTCTTGCCAACACAAGGTACTCAATAAACGTCTGTTGAATGACAACAACACTGAGGCTAACCTGGACGGACTGCCGGGTTTTGAATCCCGGTTTTACTCTTTACTAGCAGCATGACTTAAGTAAATTCCTCAATCTCTCTATTGCCCCAGCTTCGTCATTTATAAAATGGGTGTAATGGGATTGAGTTAGTTAGCATATGGAGCAACTGGAACAGTGCCTGGAACATGGTAGGCGTTATATCACTATTAAAATACTCAAACAACAAAAAAAAGTCAACTTGTCTGCAAGTATTCCTGCATCCCCTTTAGACTATGGGGCTGGGTTCACAGTAGACCATAAATGCTGCTGAAAATTAAAATCGCACCTAGAGTCACAGTTGGTGCCTTAACCACATCTTCCTTAATGACTCCCCTGTAGCAATAGATATATCTACAGTAGCCTTTGTGAGAGTTACAACTACCTAGTTGATAAATACATGAAAACTCCTCAACGCTCCAAAATATCAATTCTTGCTATGCAGTTTCACTTATAAGAGAATTTCTTCTCCCCATCACCCCTTTTTACTTAGGA